ACTCAACGGCTAAAGCAATACATGTTATATTATACCACATGGTTGATTTTATGAATAGATCTAATAAAACATATTTTTGAGAGTCCTTATGTGTTAGGTCGAGTTTCTAAGTGGCAAGTAATACTCTCAGAATATGATGTAAAATACATGACTCGTAAGTCAATCAAAGGAAGTATCATTGTGGATCATTTGGCAGCAAATCCTATGGAGGAGTGCTAACTTGTAAATTTTCAATTCCCAGGCGAGGATGTTCTTGTTGTAGAGGAGGAAGAATAAAGGGAGGAGAAATAGAAGATGTACTTTGATGGGGCAGCGAATATCTATGGAAATGGGTTAGGAGCAATGCTGGTATCCCCAAAAGGCAGACAATTCCTATTAGCCATCAAATTAGGCTTTGAATGTACCAACAATATGGCTAAGTATGAAGCATGTTTAAATGGCTTACAAGCTACCATGACATTAGCATTAAGGAACTTGATGTTTTTAGAGATTCCGCTCCTGTTATTTGTCAAGCAACTGGTGAGTGGAAAAATAAAGATTCCAAGTTAACCTCATATCAAAAATATCTCACCCAGTTGATTAATAAATTCGACAAGGTGAGATTCTATCACTTACCTCGTGATAAGAATCAATTTGCTGATGCTTTAGTGACACTAGCTGTTATGGATAAGTTAGATTGTGGAATTCATATTCAACCAATTAAAATTGAGGCTAAAGTTAACCCCGCATATTGCTTGAATGTTAAAAATGAAATGAAAGCACAAACATGGCTCCATGATATAAAAAGTTACATAAAAAGAAAAGAATACCCTTTGGAAGTAACGAAAAATTACAAGACCATTTGACATATGGCAATGAATTTCTTTCTTAGTGGGAATGCATTATACAAAAGAACTTTTGATGGTACACTACTTTGATGTGTTGATTCAGGGGTCAGACAGAAAATTTTATAGGAGATTCATGAAGGAATATGTAGAACTCATGCTAATAGCCATACTATGGCCAAACAAGCTTAAAGACATGGTTATTTTTTACTAACTATAGAAAAAGATTGCATTAAATATGTCAAAAAGTACTATAAATGTTATGCTGATCGAATACATGCCCCACCTTAACTACTTCACAACCTCATGGCCCCCTAGCCTTTCTCTTTATGAGAACTTGATGTTATTGGTCCAATCAATTCTAAGGCCTCAAATGGGCATCGTTTCATCCTTATAACTATTGATTATTTCACAAAGTGGATAGAGGCTGCTTCTTTTGATAGCATCACCCCGAAGGCCTTTCTTAGACTTCTGAAAATGAACATTATTTGTAAATATGGTCTACCAGAATGGATTATTATAAACAATGCACCTAATTTGAATGGGATTGAAGTTCAGAAGTTGTATGAACAATTCAAAATTAAATATTATAACTCGGCACCTTATCGACCTTAAATGAATGGGGCGCGGTTGAAGCATCTAATAAAAATATTAAAAAGATCATTGGAAATATGACAATCACGTATAAGGTATGAGATGCTTCCATATGCTCTTTATGGGTATCACATGACTATGTGTGTGTCAGCTGGGGCAACACCTTACTCATTGGTGTATGGCATGGAAGCTGTGACTCCAATTGAAATAGAGATACCCTCATTAAGGGTGGTCATAAAATCTATGTTAGAAGAAGATGAATGGATTAAAACTCGATTTGAACAATTGAATATGATAAAAGAAAAGTGATTAGTAGCCATATGTCATGGGAAATTATACTAAAGGAGGATGTCAAAGACTTTTAATAATAAGTTGCGTCCAAGAAAATTTAAGCCAGGAGACCTAGTCTTGAAAAAATTCCTCCCAAATCAGAAGGATTACTGAGGTAAATGGGCTCCTAATACGAAGGCCCTTATATTATGAAGCAAGCGTTTTTAGGAAGCGCCCTTATCTTTATAGATATAGAGGGCCAAGAATTGTCAAAACCCATAAACTTAGATGCTATAAAGAGATATTTTGCACAAAGCTAAAATACCTGCTAGGTTGAAAACCAGAAAAGACAACCTAGACAAAAGTTAAGGCAAAAAAAAAGATCAAACAAAGATGCCTGCTAGGTTGAAAACCCAAAAAGGGCACCTAGGCAAAAGTTAAGGCAAAATATATATAAAAAGAGAGAGAGGGAGAAGAAGGTCAAGCAAAAATGCCTGCTAGGTTGAAAATCTAAAATAACAACCTAGGAAAAAGATAAGGCAAAAGAGAGGAAGCTTTAAGCAAAAGTTATGGCAAATTGAAATATTGTATCAAGGGGTTAGAAAGACTATTGTCTTACTGGGATGGGGTGGATAGATGCTTCATGTAATCAATGCTTACACCATATATATCCACAGTGACATATGAATCCATTGTAAATGTTGTAAAGGATCCAATGAAGAGGCTTCTTTTGTCCTAATATTTTATTTTTTTAAGATTCCTTCTATTAAATTTCTCTCTTTCATGTAACTCCAAGTGGTTTATTCAGTCGATAAACTAGCTTTTCATGGAATATAATATTTTATTTATATAATCCTTATTGCATTCTTTCTTGTTCATAAAATCAGCCTTATTAGAGACATAACACTTTGTATTATACTTTTTACATATGATACAGCACTCTCTCCCTTATTCCCATAAGTTTAGACAATAAAGGTTTCACTCTTCAGGTGTTAGATGAAATTAGAGGAACGCACTTTATCTGAGTTGCACTAGATTCGTTTATTCACCTATCCTATGTGTTGCTACTAAATCTTAAGAATGGGTTGGTTAAATGAAACAGTTACATAAGGCAATGATATCTTCTACCTAGCATGAGGGCATATGTTAGTGCTACTTTTTATTTATTTATTTAGTTACAAGAAATTTAATAATAAAAAATGAACGAAGGAAGGAAGCAAGTGAAAAAGGATACATAATAAAATTATAGTATATCACATTTATCGCTCGAAGCCCTGTAAAGACAGGTACCCACCAAAAACCCTACTTGGATAGGCACTTTCTTACCATTCGAAGCCCTGTAAAGACAAGCACCCACCAAAAGCCTTACTTGAGTATGTACTTCCTTATCGTTTAAAACCCTGTAAAGACAGACACCCACCTAAAGCCCTACTTGGGTAGGCACTTCCTTACTGTTTAAAGCAATGTAAAGACCGACACCCACTAAAAGCGCTACTTGGGTAGATGCTTCCTTACCATATGAGGCGTTATAAAGATTGATACTCACCAAAAGCCCTATTTGGATAGGCATTTCCTTATCACTAAAGGCCCTATAAAGACAGGAACCCATCAAAAGCCTTGCTTAGGCAAGCATTTCCTTACCACTTGAAGCCTTGTAAAGACCAACACTCACCAAAAGCCCTACTTGAGTAGACACTTCCTTACCATTCAAAGTCTTATAAAGACAGGTACCTACCAAAAGTCCTACTTGGGTAGGCACTTCCTTACTGTTCGAAGACCTACAATGACAAGCACTCATAAAATGCCCTACTTAGGCAAGCACTTCTTTACCGTTTAAAGCTCTATAAAGATAGACACCCACCAAAAGCCTTACGTGGGTAGGCATTTCCTTACCACTCGAAGCCCTGTAAAGATAAGAACCCACCAAAAGCCCTATTTGGGTAGGCACTTCCTTACCATTTAAAGTCCTATAAAGACAAGAACCCACCAAAAGCCCTACTTGGGTAGGAACTTCTTATTTGCTTGCTGCCTTGTAAAGACAGGTACCCATCAATCAAAGGATCTAGGTTTTCGAAAAAGTCTTGCCCCTCTAAACAAAATACCTATTTTCTTTCTTCATTCATTTCTAAGATAAGAATATCATCTCATGAAATTCTCACTTAGAAATCAAATGAAGTGGGGTATCTAGTCAACATATATTTTGTTTAGATCATTGTCAATTGTTTGCAGTATCTTTCTATATTTTATTTGGTCATTTCCATTTACATTACATCACCTCATCACAAAAAAAAAATCATTTCATTGTGTTTGTTATCCAATAGTCTCGCATTTAATCATATCTTGTTGTGTCAAGGGCAATTAAGTCTTTTCATAGATATTGCATGACCAACCAAAATACATGTTCTATCTTTACTTATCACTTATGTAAGAATTCAAAAACACACTTTTTCATATACTCACATAAGAAACAAGTAAAGAGGGGTAACTATGAACACTGTATTTTTTCTGAACATTTTTTAAATTTAATAAAAATAATGATAAATTCAACAAAAAACTAAATATAAAAATAAAAAATAAAATTTAATCCTTTTTAGGATTATATTTTCAAAAAAATTTAATCTAACAAAAAACGAGAGGTATTCTTGCTTAATTCAAAGTCAAATTTCTCTCTCTCAATCTGATTTCCAAAATTATGATTAATAAAATATGAAAAACAAAAAAGAAAGCATTAAAAAAATGAGAGAGGCAATAAACATTAACAAAGAAAGAAAAAGAAGAAAAAGACATTAATATATATATATATATAAATATATATATATATATAATTGGGCGGATGAAATGCCGAAGGATTAGCAATTTCACCCAGCCCTTTAGTTGCTTTTGGGCTAAACGTAAAAAGAGCCATATACGCGAGGCAAAGCAAACACAGAGCAAAGCACACACATGCGAGGCAGAGAAGACAGGGAACAAAGCAGAAACATAGAGGACAAACACAGCTGGATGCAACAATTAGAGAGGAGTGAAGCACGCAATCGGTTTTTCATCTCCCATGCAAGCTTCTAAAGCCAAATTTGGTAATGAATCTGGTAAGATTTCAAAGATCGATGATTGTACTCTTTATTTAAAAAAGAGGGTGAGAGGATTTGAGATCAGAGAGGAGAACGCATAAATGAAGAGGCTGGGTTTGAAGAGAAGAAAAATCAAAAGATTGAGGAAGTGGGGAGGATTTTCTGGAGGAGATTAGGTGGAATTTCTGGGAGAGACTGAGGGCTTGAGAGTGTTGGATTTTTGGGAGAGAGAACCAATGGCTTAAGGGGACTGAATACGGAAGAGACATTGAGAATCTAAAAATTCAAGCCATAGAGCACGGCTAAAACTATAGAAGAGAGTTAAAGGGAGATCGAATCTAGGATTGAGAGCAATTTTTTAGATCTGAGCTCAAGAGATCAAACAAAGAGTAAGGATAGAGGATGCTGAATGATTGAAGATTCAGAGGGAGAAGCAACAACTAATTGAGCACTCAAAGAAGCTAGATTATGCACATAACAGGGTAAAGATGAAAGGCAATAAAGCGGAGAGTAATGGCTCAGCTTCAAATGGGTAACAATTTCTGCTTGTTCATTCTTCAAAGCTTAATCTGATCTTAATTACAAAATTTTTTAAATGAACTTATACTTGAGGATGGTTTAAACTGTATAAATTATTCCTATTTCATCTCGGCTTGATTTTAGAATCTAGCATCTATTGAGAAACATTAAAAATAGATAACAGGCTTTACCATGGTTGCTTTTCATTTTGAATCTGCTTGTTGGGTATTTAATCAAATGTCTGAAAGAATGGCATTGGTTTCATTCAATTGCCTACTTAAAATATTAAAGCACCATATAGAAACTCAAAATAACCTCCATAAGACCCAAGGAAATCAAAGCTTACAAGAATAAAGCCTTTGGGATCAAAATCAAGAATTTTCCTCTTTCAAAAACTCAAGAAAACCAAGAGGGAAGGAAGAGGATTGAAGTAGGGAGTTTACCTATTGCGTAGCCTAACTCACAACAATCGCAAAGCCTCCCAAATCCAAGCCTGACTCCCTCTCTTCCTCCTCTCTTCTTCCCTTCACTCTCTCATTATCTTGCTCTTTGTTTCTTTGCTTTCTTTGTTTAATTTTCCTTTTCTGCGTGCATTCCCTTTTAAAAAACTGACTTTAGCAATTTGGGAAAAATTATAAGGGCCCAACATTTTTTATTATAACACAAAAACTCAAGTCAACTTTGGTAATTTTTTTCATAGTTAAAAATAAAATAAAACCAAAATGTGGCTTAGTAAAATTTCAACTTTAGACCTCTATCAAATTATTATTAATTTTAATGTAATTATAAAAATTTTACTTTAAATTAAATTCGAGTCTTAAAATTTTTGGGATGTTATAACTACCGTCGTGACATATGAACAATTTGCTTATTAATCTTTAATTTTGGCAATTTCAATTTATTTCTTCATGATATTATTCTTGTTAGGATAGGCTTGCACCTAAGAGGAGGGTGAATTGGGTGACACTTAAAAACTTTAAAAACTTTAAACGAGTGAATACTTTAGTAAGAAGGAAGAAGATGAGACACACAAGACTTATACTAGTTCAGCCTCAAGCTTGGTCTATGTCCAATTTCCAAGATTACACTTGAGATTTTTAACTAAATTTATAAGTCTCAATAGGTACTTGCCACCACAATACAACTCACAAGACTTAACTTATCATAAATCAATCAACAAACCTTGTTACAATCCAACAAGTTATTACAAATACTTAAAAAATACCTTTTCAAGGTTTTTGAGGAATGAAATAAACCTTCATAGAAAACTCTCTTAAAAAGTAAATGAAATTATAATTGAAAGCTTATAAACTTATAAGAGCCTTTTCACAATCCTTTTCAAGCATAATGAATTAATGCAAGATGTCAAAGCACAATTTGAAAGCTTTTTACATGCACAAATAAAGATAAGTTCGCTCAATGATCATTAGTTCTTGTTCAGGCTTGAAATGAATCACATATATAGTTTTGGTAGTTGATAGACTGTTGGAATAGTGTTTCTATCCGTTGGTGCAATTTTTTATGAGTTGTAACATCCTAAATTTCAATCCCAAGAACTAGTTGCTATTTAGGAGTAAATTAGTAATTAGTGGATTAATTATGGTTTGGGTGTTGAATTTATGTTTTATATTGTTTGGATGTTGTATTGATAGGATTGAATCGTAAAACAGTAATTTAAGGCATAACGCATGAGCATAAGTGAGATTGGACTCACTGTGCCACGCGCTGTAGTGCATTGTTTAAGGATCACTTAAAGTTAACGTGATTAGCTTATGAAATTAGAAGAGGAAGTGAGAAAAATGGATTTAGAGGGTTGGAGAAGGTCAACTCTGCTAGGGCAAGCAATGTCTAGAGCTCGAGAGTCTGCTTCAATTAGTAACTTACTATGTAAGTATCGTGCAATCCCAATCTTCATTTCTATCCCATTTTCATTTAATTTCGTCAGTTGAGAAATCAAATCATAAAGTTTTAAGGTGTTGTAATCTAAAAGAAATGGTTAAAATGGGATATCAAACATAGAACTAAGGTTTTATAACTAGTATAGAGTTAAACGGTTAAGCTTTGAGGATTTAGGCTTAAAATAGCCAAAAAGTTAGGTTAAATGAAAAAATTACGGTTGAATAATGTAATAGGAGATTGTTATTATTATTTGAGTATCCTATATTCTAATGACTATAAATAATAGATAAGTGAATTCAAAAAGGTTCAATTGAACTGTTTTATATGTTAAGAGATTCAGTTTAGCCAAATCAATGCCTATGTTAATTGTTGAGAATTGATTAAGGGGTACTGTGTTATGTAGATTGAGCACCTATGACATTGCTCATGAGAATTTATACCCTTGGGAGCTTAATGTGATTGGTAACCCTTAGTAAGGGTTAAAGGTAACTAGAGTGACCCTTTTATTTTGTTATTTGTGAAATTATTTGTAAATATTTTTATATAACTATATGCATTGTGTTGTGAACTGATAAAAGTAGCAAAATTGTGGAAGAATATGCATGCGGTTGTGTGAGTATTGATTGAAATGAATTTAAGATGGCACGTGCATTAATATACATCGCATTTGCAAAAATACCCTAGATTATGGTAGGGGACGCAGCCCTATCGTAAGGAAGTCCAGAAAGTCCTGATGATCTAGAGCGTATAGCTTGACTCTTTCAAGACAGACCTAGGAGAAAAATCCTGATGATCCAGAGCGTAGAGTTTAACTCTGCCATGATGGACCTAGGAGACCACCCATACACAAAGAGGATTACTTGGTCTAAGTAGTGGCATGGCGAGCCCTGTTCTTTATGATTGAAAGTCTTGATCTGAGCATAGAGATTACTTCGCTAGGTGGAATCAGGAATGCATTGCATGAGCATAACGAGATTGATGAGAATGAATTTCTGTATATATATATATATATATATGATATTGCTTTTATTGATACACATGCTACTTTATCACTTATTTATGATTTTACTTACTAACCAGTAATTTAGGTTACCTCTGAATTATTGAGACATATGTCTCACTCCATTACTTTTGAACACAGGTGAAGAGAGCACAAGAAGGTCGAAAAAGAAAGTAAGCAAAGAGTAGCTTCATTTGGTATTGGTATGACTACCACATGTATAAATGAATGTATAAGATTATTTATAAAGTTGAGTTGCCAACGAGAATGTGTATGTGAATTGTGTTGTGAATCTTGCTTGTGTATGTACATGATGTTGCATTTCGCCGAGGTTGCCTTAGTGAGAGGGTACGTGGGTAGGCTTAGATACTAAACAAACAAGTATATAATATTGTGTAACTTGTTCCACTTGTGTATACATGTTGAATTTGAATTGATGTGATGATTATGTATTGATTGTAAATTGTATTGTTATATGAGAACTTGACACAAATAGTAAGGTGGAGCCTATTTGGAAAAGTTGAGTATGTTGTGATTTCCAACCATATGGTAAGGCAGAACTCTAAATATAAGAGTCGGAGGGTTGAAAGTGGAATAATTCTAGTTATATATATGTAAATATATGTTGTATATATATTCTTTATATAGGTCCATAATTGTGTAATGTGGCATTGAAAGGCCAGAATAGGCAATTGATTTAGTATATGTAATTAGTAGTGTCAATTAGGTGTATATGGTCCTTTTGAACTTGGTTCAAGACTTAAAGTGGACTAATGAAATAAAGAATGAGAATTGATCGCTTGAGGTATAAGTTTTTGAAAGAAAAATGACTTTTTGCACCTAGATGTTCAGTTTTAAATCGGATTGTCAGATCGATTCTAAACTTATTCCATTAACTAGTGTATGCTGTAAGCTTTATGTAGGTATTTGAATCACCCTAATCAAACGTCAGATGTGGAAATGGCTTATGATAGAAGCTTATCTTCTAAGTCTTCATATGCGCTGTGGTGCAAATAGTGTGCTGCGGTGCATGACACAATTAGAAATAGAGCATATCACTCCGTACCATATGCCACAGCACATATGGTACACACTACGGTGCATGACCCATTTTTAGAGCAAAATGTTATGTCTTATTGAATCTTGTGAATATATTTATGTTTCTACTAACTCTCTTATTTGAATATATATTTTAAGAAGTCGTGATCCTGTAATTTAAAAACAAATAAAAGGGCTATTACTCTGATATTATTTTGTTGGTACTTGTTGATTATGTGATTGGGGAAGGTGAAGCCCTATTTGAGCTGGGACTTTACATGAGTGAGTTGCTGAATCACATGTGAAACTGCACTTGGCTTGTTCCAAATATGTATATGTGATAAATCACATGTGAACCTTATGAACTCTCACGTGTGGTTCCGCATCTATGAATATGCAATCAATTCTATGTGCTAAATCTTGTGAGTGAACTTTCAGCTCTCACACGTGGTTTAGCATATGTGAAACCATCATCAGTTTTGTATGACAAATTCTGTGTGAAATTGAGTGACAAAACTACCATGCTATCACGCATAAAATTGCTTACAGAAAGTGAAGCTCAAATTTAAGTGACAAAACTCACGTGGAACCTCTTTGCTCTCACGCGTGAAATGGCTGGCTGAATGCCAAAGCCAATACCTTTGAACAAAACTCACGTGGAAGCAAAAGGCTATCATGCATGAAATAACCATATCCAGACTTAGCCTATTTGGGAAGACAAATCACACATGGATCACATCTTCACTCACATGAAATAGTAGGCAGTAAGGTTCAAACTTATCTGGATACATTTTACGTGTGAAAATGCAATGCACTCAAGTAAGAATATGCATGATCAAGAGATAAGAATATATGAATCACAAATTATACATTTGAACAAGGTGAACTCAGCTTGAGGTGACTTAAGACTCAATATAGCAATGTGTGATGATATAACAAGTGATAAATCACACGTGGCTACTGTCAGTCCTCACATGTGAAATAGCCTTTAACACAATGTAATGAAAGACAATTGCTAAAACTTGCATGGATAACAATGCCTCTCATGTATGATTTTGCATACAAAAGTAAGGCTTCAGGCACCACATAATGCAAGTGATAAATCATGCATGAATCACTTCCCGACTCTTGCGTGATTCGTCAGTCTATGTGCCCAACCTATAAATTTTAGTGAGTAACCAATAGAATCACGTGTGATTCTACAGCTTTCATAGAATTCAACCACAATGATTTTTAACACGCTAGAAAGACATCACTTGCAAACTTAAATATACTTAGATGTGTTTTAATACATATAAATGAGACACAAGATGCATTTATGTTAAATGATTATGAAAAGTGATTAAGCTTTTAAATTTTTCACATTGAATCTGAGAGAATTTAAACGACTTATCCTAAATTTATTCATCTTCTCTTGATTCTTCATACTCTTGAGGTCGTGTCTTCATCCATAATTCTTTATATCTGCACATATAACAAATACCTTTTTTCTTAGTTTTGTAATTATCAAAACACATAATCCAACAAATCTCTATAGCACTATTTATTAAGCTTTTCTTTTTTGGATGGTATAATCTGTTGCCTTAACTCTCCTTATCAAATCAAATTTGATTCTCTATGCATTAAAAAAATAATTAATGTTGGGATGTTATTAATATCAATTTTAAAAATTCACACATTGATCCTCATTATTTTCTAATAATAAGTATTTTTTTGTCCATTTTTTTCCAAAGTTATGTGTTTTTTATACGTTTTTTTATATATGAGAAACATTGTTTTTTAAATATGTAATTAATACTTATGTTTTTTACAAAATAAGTATAAATAATTTATACAAGGGACAACATAACTTTACATCCTTCTACTTTTTTTGGTGTTTTAGGTCCCTACACTTTTATTTTTTGTTGTTCTAAGTCCTTAATTAAACAAAATGTAAGGACCTTGGAGGGATCTAGAACACCAAAAAACAAAACTGTAGGGATTTAGAATATTAAGAAAAGTGCATAGACCCAAATTTATATTTTTCATATATACAAAAATACTTAAATTTAAAATTGATATTGTATTATATGCAACTATATTTATTAAAGTATTAAGTTATCCATTTTAAAAATTGATTGATTTAGTGGCTTTTAAAATATAAGCAATAATTCACACAAAATATACACGTAACTTTAGGGGGGGAAAACATATAAAAATACTTACTTTTTAATGGCTCATGTTATTGGAAGAAAAAAAGTGCATTACACAAAAAAATGTGAAAAAAGCATATAAAAATAAATTAACTATTTATGTTATAGAAAACACAAAATCGGCAGTTAAATTAGATGAAAATAAATTTGAAAAATAGAAAAATGAAAAAATATATTCACAATACGCAAATCAATCAGCATTGAATTAGAGAATCAATATTATTGTACCAATGTCAACTATATTTTGAATGCATGCATTTATTGTTAAAAAAACTACCAAATCAACAAGAGGAATTTATAAATTAATGTATCTTAAATAAGAAGCATAAAAAGATGTGTTATTGCAAGTTTCACATTAACTTTATTTCTCTACGAGTGTTTGTACTCATGATTATGATTATTCCATATATTTATGGATTTCGCTTCACTTCATTACATCCACAGACATGGGAGACCATAAGATCAATGATAAATGCTTGATAGGCTCTCCTCCTTGGTATTTTTAGCTATTTTGTTTTGAGTTGTTAAGACTCTATAAGTGTTATGTCTAAGCACACAATGTTTTATTTTCAGGTGTTATTAAAAAATATATGGCTCAAGTGAAATTAAGGAGTTTGATAAGGATAGAAAGTAACAAAAGAGGGTTGATATGGAGCTTAAGAATCACAAGCATATATATTGTTGTGCATTCACTTTACCATATCATGATTATAAATTACTCAGGAAGTAACATCCGCTATAGCTTGTGGGGTTGATTTTAATCTAACCAATTTTGATTGTAATATTTTATTTAAGTTAAAATTATTCTCTACATGGGCTCTCATCCATTTAATGCATATACTTTTTTTAGATCATTAATCTATATTGGTGCTTTTTTAAAAAAAAATGTGCATGGTTCTATTGCTCCTTTTTCAAAAAATGGATGTTTCTTTAGGTAGAAACATTACTCTCATTTATTCAATGCATATTGTTTTTTTTTATATCTATCTTGATGTGTTTTTAAATAGCTTTAAGCATGTGTATGAAATTATTTTATGTTTCATAAGTTTTAATAATTACTTAAAAATATTTTATAATAAAAAACGTATAATACTTCCATGATTGTACTTCCTCTATCTTAAATTATAAGACATTTTTAAACAAAATTACATATATTAATAAAGTTCATTAAATATACTTTATAGCTATAATTTTTAAAAATAAAAATACAAACTTTCAAAAATCTTTTATTGAATATTTCATTTGTTAAAAAATACTAAAGAGAGAGAATATATGAGAAGATAATATTAAAAATATAATTAATAAAATCTTATTTTTATTAAAGTATCTTGTATTTTAGAATTTAAAATTTTTGCTAAAAGTATTTTATAATTTGAGATAGAGGTATTAACTGATTAATTTTTCCAAAAAAAATTATTTTATTATTTAAAATTTAAGTTCAATGATGACTCACTCCCAGTAAACACTACAAGCATTGTGGGTCTTCTATCATCACTCAATTTAATCAAATATTCACAATTAATTTTTAATATATGTGTGATTTTTAGTCATTTTAAAATGTATCAATTTTAATTTTATTAATTTTATTTTGTAATATATATAATTTTACATTGACTGAGTATAAAAATAGAGATATACAATATATTTAGATTTTTAAGCATGTGTACCTCTTTAAAATATTGATGTAATTTTTTACTACCATCTAGAATACTAAGATTAGAAGACAACTTTTAAAAGAAAATAGAAATAAAAATTAAATTTTTATTAGTAGTGTGCTATATAAAAAACAGGAAAGAGGGAGTCTTCTACTAATCAATAGTGATATATATACACCAACTTTACTTGATACAAAAGTTTGTTGATCTAAGAAATGAGTTAATAAAAATCATATGCACTACAAAATAAATTAACCATACTTGAGTATTTCCACTATGTCTTCAAAAGTGACGATAGTTTTTTATGGGATTTCTCAGTCTCATCTAGTTCTATCTCGATCCCAAACAATATGAAACAACTTTTAAGAAGAGATGTTACAGATTATGCAAAAATTCAAAATCCTTTTTTTTTTTTGTAATGGGAGATAAGAGAAGGTTGTTCCAATCCATCTCATGATTACACCTACCATCCACTCAACTACTTATCTCAAATATATACCATAATTAAACCTTGGCCTTTAATTTTGATTTTGCATAAGAAATTGTGTCAAG